CCAGCAGCAATCTAGCCATTTTGTCCTTGGGTCGGAGGAGGATCATTGCTTTGTCAAAGGCGAAGACGTTTTCTTCTGCTGTGCGTGGTCATAGACCATAGACGGCTTATCATTACTTTTGTCCAGGCGTCTGCCCGTTTCACCAGCATGCCTTGCATCGTAGTCTTGGCATGGTATGCTGTAGACTACACGTGATTGTTCTGTCAACGGTAGCGGGCCTCTGGGCCGCATGATTTGCTGTCTGATGGTTGACTTCGGACACTGAGCCATATCAATACCGAATGGTCTCGGGATTCTAGCAGTTTACTCTGATACATTCTTCAAAAGATATTTTGAGCCAGAACTTAGGATCCTCTCCTTTCGACCGCTCAAGGTGGGGCCTCTAAATACACTTGCGTATAAAAGACATAGGATAACAGTTGTCCTCAAATACAGCATTTAGGTACTTAATATCCTACTTTTTTCCACTTCTTCGCTGCAATGTGCCTGGACGCGTTGGAAAAGGGTTCTAACACAACTGCGTTTGTGACAAACGGAGTGGTTGCTTCTGAAATGGAGGATGTGCATGGCATTGGTTGTCTTGGGGTAGACCGTTATCCTTATCTTCCCGTCTTCCAGCTTCGTTACTTGTACGTCAATGAAGGGTAATTGATTGCTGACCTCCTCTTCCATGGTGAACTGGATGTCAGGAAAGATGGAGTTCTGCAGTGTCTTGCAAGCCTGCACTTTGCTCCTTTTGAAAACGATAAAAGTGTCGTCAATTTATATGGCCCAGCACTTCGGGGGAGACGAGCTGAAGACCAACTGTTCGAGCCTCCGCAAAACAGCTTCGGCAGTAAGACCAGACAGAGGCGGGCTCATTGGTGTCCCCTTTTTGTTCGTTAACGTGGCCATGGAACGTGAAGAAAGTTCTTCGTAAGTTCTTCTACTGAACTATACTGAACTAATTCCAGGAGCTTGATTATATGCACTCGCTTGAGCTTTCGGCCGGTTTTATCATATTTCTCTCGGAGAAGACCATCAATAGTCTCGATAGCCAGATTGGGTGGAATAGAGGTGAACAATGAAATCACGTCAAA